TCCTCCGCAGCCGGGGCAACGTGGTGCCTCCCCGCGCGGGGAGCGGCATGTGACTGTCGTTCCCCTAGTTCTCCCCGTACCCCCTTCGGATTTTGGGTCCTTTTGGACCCGGTGCCTTGGGGGAGGTGAGGGTGCAGGAAATCCCAGCAGAGCCTTGGCAGCGTGGGCAGAGAGGCAGTGCGGAATACGGAGTCTGCTCTTGGTCGTCTTTTCCTGAGACTAGATCGTTGGTCTGGATGGGGGCGCGCCCTCTCTCCTTTTGCCGTTGTACAGGGGTACAGTGGGCTCCAATTCTTGGCCTCTTGTCCTTATGAGGTGAGCAGTATCGAAACTAGCTGCTTGTTAGGATGGTGGCCCCTGCCAGTAGCCCTAGTGCTTTTTCACATCTCCTCCCCTTCTGTCGCCGGTGGAGACCGACTGGTTTAAACCATCAAAATGGGGAAAGTTGAGGGGGAGCTTAATGCTTCCAAGGGAATGTAGTCACCCTTGGTCCTAGGAAACCGGACTGGCCAATCCCGAAACTGCAGGCTGCAGTTTTTATTTCTAACCAAGTTGCTTCTCTTGGAGGGGAGGACGTTTGGAGTGTACTAACAGTACCTGAAACTCTGTTCTCTTCCTTCTGGCCCCCCCCTTTCCCATCAGAATCCTCTTATGCAAAGGGCAATGCTGAAACTTCCATTTTCTTTCAGATCTCTCCTATCCACCCACAGAGTGAGGGAAGCAACTTTAAGACATTCTTTGGACCTTCCCCTCTCTTTAAATTCAAAGGGGTATAATCATTCTCAAGAGAGAGCAGTCCTCAGAAGTTTAAATGGGGCTACTCACCCTGGCTGGTGCTGCTTTGCCAATGGTGAACCTGCCTTGTGGGTTTTAAATCAGCCATGACATCAGGTGGTACTGGATGCCTGAGCTGGTGTTTTGTGTAAGTCCAGGGGCCCTTGATAGAGTGCGTCACTGGGGTTATTGATCGTGGGAAGAAGACGGCTTGGCTGGCCTCACTCCTTCCCCTCTGAGTGGAACAGCCCACTTGCCTTGAGTGTTTCAAACATTTTTGGGTGGGTAGATTTGCCCTGTTCTTATTTTTCTGGAATCTAAGGGCAAGAGAGTGTCTGTCTATTGATTTACAGCCTTTAGAAGTGGTCTTAGACTAACTGAGTTAATCCAGAAGCTTCTCTGTTTAAGCCTGTTGTTAGGGCTTGGGTGCTTTTGAGAGAGAATTTTGTGATTGGGTTTTCTGGTGAGGTTACCTGGTGGCCCATTTTCTGCAGCCTACATGGATCTCTAAGGCCCGTTTGCAGCCCTGGTTTTATTTACAGCCTGGACAAATTTAAATGTGACACCAGTGGAGTGACTGTGTGGTCTTGGGGATTTTTGCGTTCTGCGATGCATATGTTTTTAGGAGTCTACAGAAATGAGTGCCTCATAAGCAAGCTAAAAGCTTTCCAAAGCTTGCTGCAAATGCCTATTTTTAGCTCTCCTTTTGGCTCAGATGCTGGTGTTTTAGTTCTTTAAGGGACACATGCGGTAACTAGTAATAAAATATGTTTTTGTGATACCACTGCTTTCTTGTGGGGTTCTCTATTCTGGTTTAAGCTTCCAAGTCTTACATTTGTAGTTTTAAGTCTTAGGATTTGCATTTTGGCTTTTTGGAGCTCGCTACCCCTAGAGTATTTTGAAAGTGTTTAAAATTCTTTCCTTATTCCAGTCACATAACTTTCTCAGTATAAAGGTCCAAGATGTCTAAGTTAAAAGAGTTGATACACAACATAACAAAGGTTCTGAGGTCAAACTGCATGGGTTCAAACCTGCTAGCTGTGCCTCTTGGGCAGAGTTAAAAACTATTTTGTACCTTACTTCACCCATTTGTTTAGTAGGGTTTGAGTCTATGACTTAGCTGCCTCACGGGACTATGATGACCATTCACTGTGATAATACATGTATTTCAGCCCAGTGCCTGGCGTATGGTAGCTGTTGTGATGTCTGGGAGATTGGGGGACTTTCCAGGTTTCTTAAGTTTTCTTTTCCCTCCACCTGTAATGTAAAATAAGGGGGGGTAGGGAATGCAGAGCTTCCCTTTTTTTGTGTTGTATCAGTCTCCCTTGAAATATGTGGGGACTTCAAGTTTGTGGGAAAATGGAATTAAAGTATGAGTTTATATTGGAGGAAAAAGTCAGAAGTACATGCATCGTGTTCTCATAATATGTATTTTCCATGAACTTTTTGAAGACCAACCCCTCTGGTTTATGGGGTCTATCTAGCTCCTTGAAAGTTGACTTTTGCTTATGTGTGGGCTTGAAGGGCATGGTACAAATTAAAGGTTGGTGACTCAAAGAATTGGCTGTTTTTCCTTTGGAATGTGGAAAGGTGAATTTTTATAAAACAAGTGTTTTGTGTGTGTGTGTGTGTGTGTGTGTGTGTGTTGATTCTCTTTGGGGGAGTGCACATGTACTCTCAGGGCAGTGGGTAAAGTCAGCCCAAATGAATAAAAGTTTCCTGCAGTTGGTGCAGAAGTGGCACCTCGAGACTTCTAGTCTTAGCAGTCCTGCACCCTCCCTTCCCAAACAGGTGTAATCAGTGGGCTCGTAGTGTACCTACCTCTAACTTGTGCACGGACGTACCTCTAACTAGCTAACACACCTCTCTCTCCTAACCGGTTAGTGAGAAAACCAGTGCTAAAGCTGGACCAGGGTCTGACACTTAAAGTGTTTATGTTTAGGTCATCATTTTTATGTCCCTTTCAAGTGCAACTAACCAATCGCACAAAATTAAAAAGAAGGGGTTATAATCCAGTTAACCCATCATACGCCAGTGATCACCTTCCACACTCAGCTGGCCCCAAATAAACCTCCACTCTTTGCTCTCCCTCTGGGTTTGGGTCCTTCCCTAGATTCCCTTAGTTATACTGCTTTAACAGTTGGTCTGTATGAATCTGGGGTGTCACCATGAATTCACTGTCTCTAAAACTACTTCAAACCCTAGTGCCCCTCTTGTCCACCATGGAAGGTGGGCTAAATGGGAAGAGAGAGCTCTGGGCCTAGGATCCTATAGGCTCCACTTTGGGTTCCTAGCCCTGCTTCTGACTTGCTGTGAAATCCAGGGTGAAATAATCCAGCCTCTCTGAACCACTGCTATCTTATTCTCAAAATAAGAATAATCATAGTAACTATTTAAAGGCATTATGGAAATTAGAGAATATTTTTTTTCATTTGCCAGAGGGTATATGCCTTTGCTAAGAGAGAGAGAGAGAGAGAAAAAGTGAGAAAGCACCTCCCCTAAAGGAGGATGACCATGCTTAAATTCCTTCTCCATTTCTTCTCTTGGAATTTTGGGCTGCACACATATGCGTCTGGTGTGATTTTGCCATAGGACGGGTGCCACCATGCCCTGCGTCTGGCCTGTTTTTTAAGCCACTCGCCTGGTTCAATACAAGAACCATGCGGTTGGCCATGTGGGATCCAGCTGCGTTAATGGCGGTGCCACAGGCTGGTCCAAGAATGTAATGTTTATAAAGCCCTTTAGTACCAGCATAGTAAGCACCTAGTAAGTGCTTACTTAATAATGACTGTTCTGACATTTTTGTAATCAGTGCTCACAGTCCTTAGGAGTGTTAATTCCACCACAGACCTTGGCTCCTGAGCAGTGTGGACAGCAGCACACCCTATGCGCTCTTCACACATCTGTTTCTTTATCTGTGAAATGAGAGAATTGGATTAGGTCTAAATCTCCAAAGGGTTTTTTTATTTTATTTTTATTTTTTTAATTTTTTTAATTAAAACATTAAAATTCCACAAAAACTGAAGTGGAGCTTTATACATGTGTATCTTTTTATTTGCCATCGTGATTAGAAGTTCGGGTTGGAATCCAAACTCTGGAGGTGCTGGAGGGACTTCAGCTTCAGCAGTGGAACCTGAGTGGATGGCATCAGAGTGCATAATGGAGCAGCCAGACAGCATGTGCTTTTTTGTTTTGTGTTTCTTTGCCAGGGGGCATGTGTGTTTACCAGAGAAAGAGAGAGAGCACCCCCCAGTGGGACGTGGTTATGCCACAGTCCTTCTTTGTCTCCATTTATCCATCCTGTTCAGATTTGGGGCACACACATGTGCCTAGCTGGTTTTA